AAGAGTTGAAATATCAGAGTCATATATGTGCAGCAGTATTGTTCTGACATTTGAATTCAGCAATAGGCAATTCTGAGACATTTCGTTATGTAAAACTTGACATTTCCATGTTAATATACAAAACAATGATGATGTGAAAAGCCACTTCTCTACCAATATTTAAAACTTAAACACTTAATAAAACTTTAGAAGCATAGATCTCTAAAATTGAAACCCACACAAGAAGTCCTTACCTAAAAGCTTTCACTGTTTATCCACATAAAAAGTACATGCTGAACATTCATCTTGCTACACTGCTTTTTTTCCATTTACCAGTTACACAGAAAAAGCAAAAAACATTACTATTTGCTTTGTAGCTAGTTATTGCCAATTTAACTTTCTTTTAATTTCGTGTGTGTGTGTGTGTGTGTGTGTGTGTGTGAGAGAGAGAGAGAGAGAGAGAGAGAGAGAGAGAGAGAGAGAATATTCCTACCATGAACTACAGATCATTTAAGATTGCTTCTCAAATGTTAAAAACTATATTGGATACAATATGATTAAGTATATTTCACTTTCCTGAAGAGCATGAATCTCAACCAGTTGTAATTTTATAAAAAAGTAAAATGAACTATTCATGAATGACTACCTTGTCCAATGATCATCTCTTCAAACACCCAAACTAAAATGTTTTGACATTATGATCTCTTGGTAGAAACAGTAAAGACATGTTTTTGAAAGGCTGAAATAAGTAGGGTAATAATGAAGAACAAAATGTATAACATTTTCAAGCTGCAAATTAACAAGCAGATATCGACTTTTCTTTGAGGTCAATAACAGCTCTTATTGATCTAAAAAGTTAATACCTACTAAGGTCAATATAAGATCTCAAGGGTCACCACATCTGGATTGGAACTTCCACTTCCTTTCACATATGAATATTGCTGAAATGGGCACAACTGTGTTTGGAGAAATCAGGAAAACATCATTATGATGCCAGAATAACCCAAAGAAGGCCAAGAAAGCTAAACACAGAATTTTTAGTCTGTTTCTAGAGATTTTTCAGGGTCCTTGACCTTGAGATGTAAATTCTAATAGTGTTACACAATTGGGGCCATTAAGTAAGGAGAAACAAAAATAATTGAAAATTATGTTTTTAATTACAAGTGTTTGTTCATAGTATTGACATGGAATATCTCTCTCTTGCTTTATATTATTTGGGAAATATAATGTGGAATAAACCTTCAAAATAGATATTAGGCACTTTTAAATAAGGAGAAAATTATTTTTAAAAATTAAACTGTCATTTTGGAAAATTTAGAAGAGCAAAAAATTATCATCTTAATAGTCTTACAAAACCATTTGTATCATTATCATACAGTCTGTTGTAATTTTCTAGATTGAACAATATATTGACTATTGCTGATAATTCTAATAATTAAAATGGTCTACAAGTTCTTTTTTATCTTTGGGTTTTCTTTTTTATTATTTTATTAAATGTGTTGGGGTGACATTGAATAAAATCATTTAGATTTAAGTGTATAATATATAACACATCATCTGTATATTGCAATTTATGTTTACTACTTGAAGTCAACTTGCCTTCTGTCTCATCTGAAAGACAGCACGTGGTGGGGGGGAGAAGGGTGGGGGGCATATGAACATTAAATCCATGTTTCCCTGCATCCTAAAATTGAGTATTTATTAACTTGATCCTTTTCACAGCCAAATAAGTGTTCATATCATTCTTTTAGAATTACGAGAAGCACTGAGGGAGGAAGAGGAAAGAGAGAAGGAACACACTCTCCTTGAGCATTTACTAAGTACCAAAACCGGGGCAAGGTGCTTTGAATAGACATGGGTCTGGTTAGTTACCAAATTTTCTACAGCTATAAGCAGAGGTCAGGTCTGCAGCAATTGACAATGTTACACAATGGGTATTCAATAACTATGAAGATACTACAATTGCAATATCAAGTTCTTTTAAAACAATTTTGGATTTACAAAAAAATTAGAATAGTACAGAGTTCCCATACAGTTCACACTCAGTTTCCCCTATTGTTAGCATGGTACATTGCTATGCTACATTTGTCACCATTAAAGAACCAATACTGATACTTATTGTGAACTAAAGTCGATATTTTATTCATATTCCTTCCTTTTTATCTGATGTCTTCAGATACTTTGTCTAACGTTTCAGGACACCACCCAGGATACCACGTTACATTCAGTCACTTGTCTCCTTACATTGGTCCTGGCTATGACAGCTTGCAAAGTTCTTTAAGCACATAGTTTAGAAATGGTATAAATAAGTGTGCTGACTTGTATCTATTGTCAACACTTAGATGAAAGCATGAGCAGCAGAATAATCTTTTGTTACAGATCTAAGGAATATACATTTGAGAAACAAATGGAGATAAATGTCTGGTAGGGAGGAAAGTAGATGATATTGACTTCTTAATGTGTCTGTTAATAGAACATAGATAATAAAGTTTCACTTGTCACAAGTTCTAGATTATAACCATTGACCTGACCTGTGCCATCTACTCCTCTTCCTACCATGTGGTTACTAGCCAGGGTTTTCATTGATGGAGTATAAGGCAACAAAGTAAGCAAGGAATAAATACACTGCCCATCTGTACTGGTTCTCTCTCTTTTACTTTTTAAAATAAATTTGTATTGATTTCAGAGAGGAAAGGAGAGAAGTATCAAGGATGAGAGAGAGAGAGAGTCATCAATCAGCTGCCTCCTGCACACTCCCTCTGGGCATTGATTCTGCAACCCTGGCATGCACCCCAACCAGGAATTGAACTGCGACCTCCTGGTTCACAGGTCGATGCTCAACCGCTGAGCCATTCTGTAAAGTTGTGCTTAGAAAGTGGCTGTCCAGGTGGAAGTATGTTTCTCAGTCCCCTTCCATGTAAGTGGCACCATTCACCTCGTCTTTGCCCGTGAAATGTCTGTACAATCAATATGTGCCAAAAGCTGCTTTAAGGGCGGTGTGTGTTCTCCATTCTCTGCCGGGCCAGTGCCTGAATGTCCAGGACCCCAAAGCCTGAGGGCAGGGCAGAACCACAAAGTGGGAAGAGCCTGGACTTCTGAATCAGCACACGGAGGCTGTCTGCTCACTACGGGCACTTGAGTTGGACTGTTCCAAGGGTGAGAAGTAAACTTGACTTCACCCAGCTACTGGGGCATTTGGGGTTTGTTTATCACAGGACTTAGAATCACTATGCAAAGTAGCAAGTGGAATCCTTCTTTTACTGAGCACTCTGATGGACTGAACATGTGCTGGGTATTTTATATTTGGACTAGACTCTGCTTAAGTTAAACACTATAAGATTACCAGCAGGTTACAACCACCTCCCTACAGAAGATTTTATATGTTAGGAAGCGAATACTTGGAAAGGCTAATGAACTTGCCCAAGATCTCCCAGCTATTATGTGGCAGATCTGAGATTTGAACCTGGGTATGTTTAGTTGCAAAGATCCAAACACATTCCATTTTTCCTCACTGCAGGTGAAAGAGGTGATCTGAATTGGTGCTTGGATTAAAAAAAATAATAATAATTCCTATGCATCTTCTATGTGTACCTTTTTTTTTTTTTTTTTTTAATCCTCACAGGAGAGCAAATACTATACATGTGCTCTCCCTACTTTTTATGTGATGGGCATGAGGTCCTAATTTACAAGGGGTGGGTGGGTGTGGGACAATTAGCAAGCTTGAGTTTGTTAGCATTTTCCAGATCAAGACAATGTTGTACAAAGATACAGGCCACCTTTGTAACCTGCTGCTAATCTCACGGTGTTTAATTTGAGAAAAGTCCAGCCACTCACAGAGGGCACAGAAGCGTGGTTACTCCACGAGGTTTACAGTGAACAAAGGAGCGAACAGAAAGGCTTGACTTGTTTGCACAACAGTAGGAATTTAAAGACCTATATGGGGTGTGCATTCTACGGGAAGCCCAAGCAGGAAGAAAAATGAAACGCTGTACCTTGCACACAGCAATCAAAATGAGGGGGCTCATTGTAGTAGGAAAATGCACAGCTGGCAGGCAGTATCAGTGGGGCAATAAGGTATTTGGTCCATCTTCATGCTTACCTTTTTGGAGTCATAGCGTTTAAAAAAAAAAGGTCTCCTTTTTATATATTAACAAAGTCACTCCAGTCAATCTCTTTAACTCACCTACATGAAAAATTTAGATGACTTTGTAAAAGTCCTATGCTAACACCAGTGAGAAAAATTGGTCCTTTAAATCTGTGCAGCTTTCTTAAAATGGAGTTTTGTTTGTTTAATAACAAGTCCTACTCATCAACAGGTCTGCAATAGAGCATGGAACATTATGGGTAATTCATAGATATGCTAATGAGGAAGAGGAAAACCAAATGGAAGTTCATAAGCCCTTCTGGTTGGTGAAAATTAATGGCATTTGAGAAAGTATTCAGGGGATCGGTATACTCAATCTCAACAAATAATTTCCATTTCAAATAAGTTAACTATTGATTGATACAATGAGGTAACAGATGTAAAAGTAGACTGAAATTTTCAAAGTAGATTATAGTGTTATTTCTAATGTAAGTGTTATGATTTTCAGCACATGCTACAAGATGAAGATTTACCAAAGTTTATAATGTAAAGCATTAAAAATATTCAATGTACTAAATAAAAATCATTGCACAACTGACCATGAAAATGGAGAGGTTAATTGGGGAGGTTACTCTACTACAAGAAAAATTTGAGGAAAAATGTTTTTAAAGTTAATGTTATCATTTTCAAGTATACTTAGTAATTAAGATGAGCATTATAGCCCTGACCGGTGTGACTCACTTGGTTGAGCATCATCCTATACATCAAAAGGTTGCTGGTTTGATTCCCGGTCAGGGCATATTCCCAGGTTGTGGACTTGATCTCCATCTCCGGGGTGTGCAGGAAGCAACCCACCAACGTGCATCAATATTTCTCTCTCTCTCCTTCCCTTCCTCTCCTTCTAAAAATCAATTACCCCCTCCCTTTTTTTTTTTTAAAGCCAAGCATTAGATAGTCCATAGGACACATTCTAGAAAGTCTCATAAACCACGTATTCGCCCCAGAGCCTGATTTGTCATGGTTTACCCAAGTCCCCTTCTCCCCTATTTCAGAAGGCCCACCTCTTTCGAGGCTTCCCCTGACACAGTGAAATAGACTTAATTATTTCCTCCACCCTACTTCAAATACACTAGTTATGTTTATTATAGGGATTTATTGATATGTATTTCCCTAATAGATATTTTGCCAAGATATTCCAGCTTATTAAAGGAGCCTAGTATTCTAAGTGCCTAGGACAGTGGCAGGGTCTGTTCCCTCCTAAATTACATAAAATCCATCACCCCTTTCAGGTGTGTAGACTATCTCCCTTACCTGACTCACCAGTGCAAATCTTGCTAATCATATTAATTTAAGGCAGCATTTTTCTTGCCATTTCAAAGATCAACTTAGCCGAGTCCAGATCTAATTTCACAGGAGGAGCCAATATTTGTTTTCTGAATAAATGTTAAAGTTCCACTATGCTGCATTCAAGGGTTGTGTGTTGCAAACAGCATTGAAAATGGAAATAAATATTGTAAAGGTATATTTTATGTTCATATAAATACCAACCTTTGAATATGGACCAGGACCTTCGATTGCTGGCTGTGATGAGATTACCAACAAGGAACATAATGGCAGAATTACACAACAACATGCTCATTTTTTTCTCCAAAAGGACAGTCTTCAAAAACGCATTTCTCCTTGTTTGGCTTTAGGGAGGGTCCTTCCTCTCTCTAAATAAACAGATATTTATTTAACTATGACTTAAGAGTTTATATCTCAAGATGCAAAGGCCAACACTGTGCCACACATGAATTGCAACCCACCATGACAGTCTCTTTGATAATGACTTTACTTGGAAACTCATATTCTTCAATAAAGAAAAAAATTATTTTTTTAGTGTTGACTTTGTTCTCTTAACGGCAAAACACTGTAGCCCAACAGGAAATACAGACGAAAGCTTCAAATGGAGAGAGAGCACACACAAAAAGCCATTTTTAAAGCTCATGTCCGTCAACTTTTCCACTTGATATAAGTCGTACATAAAGTCTTAGTCCAACGAACCCATGCTGTGAAAATTCTGTGGTGCCCAACTCAGAAAATGCTGTTAAATACATAAACACTGCTGAAAAGAAGACTTCTGGGCACTGGAAATCGGAGTCAAAGGGAAAATAAACCTGATTAAAAAAATTCCCAAGGAAAGTTACACAAGCACAGTGCAACAAGGTCATAAGCTTAACCGTCCTCTGCTGTCACATTTGAAAGTAAATTGGCATTCCAGCGATCTGCTTTGGTCGTCACTCTTTTTCTCAACTCACAGAGATGCCACGAAATAAGAATGGCTTCACGTGTGTCTCACAGACCAACTGGAAAAGTGATAGGCAGTATGGCTTAAGACACCTTTAAAAATGAGTATAATACTTTTTAATGGATTAAAAATGAACCCTATGCATTCACTTGGACCTCCAAGGGAGAAGGTCCTCCAAATAGGGTTTAAATGGCATCCTTTTCTTACCACTGCGAAGTGCACCAATATCTCAGAGACCCTCACAAATTAAACTTAAGCGCAACTTGAAAGTATTCTTTAAGAGTTTCACCCAGAGGACAACCTCCTCTGTTCTTTCCAGAGCAGAACCCCAGCTTTGTGAGATGTAAGACTTTAAGTAGGATTTTAACTCTAAAGTAAGTGATCACTATACATTACACATTATTATTTTACCACTGGGTAGACTTTTTAAAACTCACAGAGCATGGGCAAGTAATCCTTCTCAGCATTAAAAAATACATATTCAAGCAGAGATATCTTTAATTCTGAAAGCATAACCACACAGTCCACCACACAAAATAATGAATGAAGAACATTTTCTAAAGATAACTTTTTCTGTCAATAAATTTAATATTTCTATAGAAAGATATTTTCTCTAAATAGATGTGCTTGGATAAAAATAGTTAAAATCAACCCAATTGCATAATCCCATTTTCTGTTCCAATATTGTAAAACATGAAGTGTTAATTTGCTATTGCTGCAATAATAGGGACATGTCATATTCTGAAATTTCAATCAGTGCCTATACAAAATTACTTAAGTTAAAAATCTCAAGTGTTTATTCCTGGCAGATTTGGCTTTGTGATTGAGCACTGTCCTATGAACCAGGAAGTAGCCGGTTTGATTCTCAGTCAGGGCATATGCTTGGGTTTTGGGCTCGATCCCCAGTGTAGGAAGTGCAGGAGGCAGCTGATCAATGATTCTCTCTCATCATTGATGTTCCTATCTCTCTCCCCCTGTCACTTCTCTCATAAATCAATAAAAAATATTTTTTTTTAAATCTCAAATGTTGTGTGAGACACAACATTCTGTACTCAGAACCCCCAGGACTGGAATATCTCATCATTCTAGCTCTGCATCCCTGAAGTACCTGACGCTCAGTGAAGTTCAATAAAAGCTTGTGGAATAAGTGAAATACAATATTTGCCTTCTTTCATATAATGTCTACCACTCCCACTAGTATTATAGAGTCATAAAGTTATTCTTCTGCCAACTGATAACAGCTTTAAGAGCAAGGCACATACAGTTAATACTTTTGGGGTCTGTTTCCCAGGAGACTTATAAATGACTTCTCAGTAAATGAAGGGATTAAACAAAGCTCTCTCATATTTCTTCCAGGAGATGTTAGCTCAGTTCCAAGCAAACTTATGACTTTGAAAATAGTTTTCACCGGCCAGTGTAGCTCAGTCATCTTGTGCACCAAAAGGTCACCAGTTTGATTCCCAGTCAGGGCATGTGCCCAGGGTGTGGGTTCAGTCCTCAGTACGGGTGTAAACATACATCAATGTTTCTCTCTCTCTTCCTCTTTCCTGTCTTTCTAGAATCAATAAAAACGTACTAACAATAGTTTTACTTATGCATTTGTTTCTATTCTTGTGCACTGTTTTACCCATTCATCTTTTTATAGATGCTACATTAATACATTCAAGAAATTGTACTTTGGAATCAAATTAACACTGTATATACTGAACACTCATATTTCTTGAGAGAAGAATGAAAGATGAAATGAAAAAGAAAGGAGAAGAAGGTAAGATAATTAAAATAATGAGGATGAGGTAGAAGGATAAGAAAATATCAGCAGCCAGGGAAGAAACTTCTGAAATGATAAAGTAAATGACTGGCTTTAAGTCTGATATAAACTTGGTCTCCATAGATATTTCCAAAATGGATTAAAATTTCTAAATGAGTTCTATGGTGAGTTGATTAAAATAATAATAGCAATAAGGTGACTTGAAGGACAGTATCAAGAACCAAAGAACAGAATGTGATAAGTTGCAGTATTGTTCTCTTATACCTCATAATCTCCATATAACCCTTTGAAAGACTAAGGAAAACTCCGTCAATAGTTCAACCAAGACTTTTAAACAATTAAAGATACGAAGGAAGTCACCTCACATTGTAAATGTATTTCTTTAAAAAGTTCCTAACATGAAACACATTTGTTTGATTTTTAAAATGTAAGTTGATACCGCTAACGATTGCTTTTCCTGTAGAAATAGGCAAATAGAAAGAAAAACAGTGGCATACATAAATGATCTCATTTTCATGAAAATGCTAGAGTTCTAAGAATTATTTGTTTTCCAGAAGAAAACATACAGAAATAATACAGGCTGGCAGTGGTAACACCCTGTTGTAAGATCGATGACCAAATGGAACGCCTGAGGTAACCTGAGAGAAGGCGTGCCAACTATAAGGCTTGGTATATATTAAAAAAAGAAGCCATACTTCCATATCTTCTCCTCCTTGTACATCATTTCTTTAAGAAAAAGAAACCAATAAGTTCTAAAAGTTATTCCTTTTGAAAGATGCTGTTCTACTGCTAGTATAACAAAATGATTAGTATAAAAAATTTATATCATAACCCAAAGGCAGACTGGACATGACTAGGCCAAGAGCTAGCAGGGAAGCACAAAATGTACAAGGAGCAGGGAGTCCATCACAATTACTCCCCCCTCCCTCTCTCCTCCTCCATTCCTTCCCCAACACACACATTACTTTAGTAAGAAGCAAGAATGGAAGGGGGGAAAAAAAGCAGCTTTGTGCTCGCTTTCTCATGTCTCCATCCATGTTCAAACTCATCCCAGGAATTATCGGGATGACTCCCAGGCGGAGGCTGTGAGTGGCAGAGCTGCCTTTACCTCTATGAAGCCTTGCTTTTCCTCACAGACTTGGCTTTATAGCCTATAAGAAGTCCCCAAGCCTTATATGACCAACAACTACCTAACTGTTAAGCTTTATAGTGAATCTACCATGAGTAGTTCATGGTAGCTAATCCACCATTAAAAAGTCCAAGAAGACCGAGGTTGGTTTTTGGGCCAATGTCAATTGACATTTTCCACGTTGACTGTATCGATAGTTTGATGTGGATGCTATATTTTAGCACACGCGGGAAGAAAAACTATCAAATCCCACTCAATCTTATAGCCTTGATCAATACGTGGATCTGTGAACTTCTTTGATGACTTCCTTCAGGAGGAACAATGTGGATGGTGTAGTGGAAGGAAAGGCAGCCCAATCCCTGTGATCTGTGTCACAGTAAGAATATCCCCAACCCAGCTGAGTCCCAGGTGGGAAGAGGCTCGCCAATGGACTATTTCATTAAAGAAGATCCCTTGATGATGAGCATGCTCTATAGGCAGGGTATTCCATTCCCCAAGGATGTCAAGGTAACACTTTTAAAAAATTCCTTTAATCTACACAAATTTTTCATCACAACAATTATTTTTCTAGGAGACAGAGAAAGATAAATGCTTGTATATCATCAAATGACCAACACATTAATAATAATATTTATATTTATATAGTGTTTTATAGTGTATAAACCATTTTCATACATGCTATCATTTATTAGGAATATGCCCAGACAGGCAATATTATTTCCATTTTATTGCAAAAGTCACTGAGACTCAGAGAGGTTGTATGATTGGCTCAAGGTCACACAAAAAGAACTAGAGCCTGAGCCTGATCCTTTAACCTCATGCTCAGGGCTCTTGGCTTTATTCACATTCTTCACAAGGACAGTAACTTCTAAAGGTAAG